TTTACTCTTATAGCAGGTGTCCTCCTCCCTGCGGGTGACGCCTCTCTGGTCTCGCCTTGTTGAGGAATCAGGTGTGGCTGCACAGTCACGTGTTCGGGTGTGTCTTCCTTATATGGTTTCCTCCCTTCAGAAGAATTTTAAAAAGGCTGCGTGACCTAACACAACATGTTCACATGAAGGCATGTTGATAATTGGGATATTTAGGATGATTCATTCCAATGAATCAGGGATACCCTCAGGACATCGGGGGCAGCAGAGGTGGGAAGCATCGCCCACGTCTCCTCCTGCAACCAGCCACATTCACTTCGTTTGTTGTTGCCAAGTAGGTTTCCACATAGGAGGAGTGGGCCTGGGGTCATAACAATAAACACAGTAAGAAAGCAAGATCCAAGATGAGATCTCATAGTTTCTCCGAGACACAAATGAGCTGCTTTTAATACCAAGCTGAGACCAAAGGCCTTTTCTCCCACTTCTCAAATTCATCTCAGGAGAAACAACCATATCAAATCAAAACAAAAGATCTCTAACTGATCTTAACTAAGTGTAATTTCAGTCCAGAATGTAGATCAGAAAAAAAGCTCCAAGACCACTTAGGGGTTATTTTACTCAAGTACTTTACTTACGTCAAATGTTGAGGTTGAGTATTTTCTTTTTATGGAGGCTTGTACTTTTACTCGCCTTCATTTCAAATCCTTATTGTATTTATTGTTAGTTATCTGTTACAAGTTAGTGAGAAAAATAAAATAAATTTAGACATTGAAAATAATGCACTTTGAAATGACAAGAACTGAGATACAACATGTATCTGTCTTACAGAATGAGCACTTTTACTTTTGATACTATTCCTTGAGTAGAATTTTGAGGACTTTAATTGTGGATATGGTGTTTCTCCTTTTTTAAGTAAAAGAAAATTTTACTCTATTTAAAGACAATCAGTGCTTCATTATTAATTTTAGCTGGATGGCGCAGCGGCAGTGTTGTTTGAACAGCAGGAGCTGGGTTTGTCTTACCCAAGTCTCAAAACCTCAGTCTCTCTTCGTCTCATCCTTTTCAACAGTTCCGATTTGAGTGACCTCAAAAAGATTTACTATTGAGATCTTAGTGTTTTCTCAAGAGATAAAGAAAAGACCATTCTGAGCAAAAGATTGTTCCTCTGGGACCGTTCAGATCGACTGTTGCAGCTCTTTGTACTCTTGGACTGGTTTAATGTATCCAGTCATTTCTTTTCTTTGAGTTTTGAAGTTTTGAAGTTGACTGCGCTACATGTTGCTGTCAGAGTGGTCTCTGCAGTCAGACCTGTCCTCCTGCTTCATGACAACGCAGGTTGTTTCTGTTGATGCTGCCGGCGAGGAGGATCAGGTGTCTGTTGGAGTACAGGTGTTGCTCCGGGCCAGGTGTACAATCAAACGTGTGTGTGTTTAATGGATGTGACGGGCCTCACCCAGCAGGTATGGAACACGTGTCTGTGTTGTGTCTCCGTGCCAACGAGACCTGGTCTGACATGAAAACATTTGTTTGATGTTCCAAAATGCAAATACCCGAAAAAGGTTCCTCCACAGAGACCGTCTCTCACACAGGAGCAGTGGATGCTGGGAGTTTACAGTTTACAGCAACTGACAGAAACAATCTGATCACGGGGATCAGATCAGGAGCTGGTCTGGAGCTTTTGATCACATCACATGGTCTTCCTCAGATCAAATCAGCGCAGAAACAATAAAAATTTGAAAACTAATTTCCTGCCATTCACAAATATTAAAAAACACGTGGGAAGCACGTTTTATTTATTTATTTATTACCATAATGTCTGTCAGTATATTGTATTACTTTTTTGTCTTTTTTACCTTTTCCTGTTTGACTGTCTGTGGTGACAGAAAAAGTAGGACCATGAACCACACACATAAATCTGTGCATTGTCATGTAAAGACAAGTTCAGATACTGTGTCCAAGGTTTAGCAAAGTCTTGTTTTTATTTACATGTTCACAAGTAAACTCAAGTGTGCAGCGTTTGCTCTGCTCTCATTTTCTCCAGGCGTTGACAGCTGTTTTGATTCGCCATTCTTCAGACAAAGGATCCTTTTGTGCTCTTTGTTCACACAGATAAAAGACGCATATTCCTTCAAGGTCTAGTCTGTCCAGTTTCTCCTGGTGCTCGTGACACGTGGCCGCAGTATTCAGCTTAGTTTGAATCATCGATGATCTAAGCCGTCTTAAGCGTCCTCAGCACACTGATTCTTCAGCAACAGCAGTAAACATATGACTCTTTAAATAATCCAGATTCATTTTAGATTAACTAGATGATTTGTTAAGAACACAACAATGCTTCAATAATTATAAATCTCATCAAATTATTTTTTGATATTCTGAAATGAGACATTCTACATAATGATCTTTAAGTACATATTGATGCATTTGTGCTTTTACAAGCAGGACTACTAACTTACTGTTACTTTTAATTGTTACAGAGTGTTTCTACTCTGTGTTTTAAGTAGTCTTACTGAAGTAGAACAGTCAGAGTACTTCTGGCACCGCCTGGAAACACAGGAGCTGGAGGCAGTTATTATCTGTTTAGCTGACAGCTGTCAGTCATGTTTACGACACGGTAACACTCGTCTGTTCTCCCACAGAGCTCGATAATAAAGGCAAAACAGCAGAGAGAAATAGCTGAGCTGCTGTCAGAGAAACAGGTTTGTGAAGTGTTCAAGGTCGTTTTTAAAAAGTTCCATCAGTCACACACTCGTCTGTCTGGGAGATCCTGCAGGGAGGAGAAATGAACCGACACATCCAAGCCACAACTACGAAACATAATCAGCACTGAAAGTTATTAATAACCCTGAACCAGTTTACTCACACGCAATCATGTGCATTTGTTTGCCTTAAAGGGACAGTGACTGTAAGTTTAAACTAAAGCAGCAGCAGATTTATACAAAGAAGTATTTAATGAAATGTTTGGTAAATAGCAAACAGTAAATCCTGCATCTTGCAAACATTCAGGAACAACAGCAGCAGCAGTAGTAAATATAGTAGTAATACATTAAGATGTGAGAGTTTTATTTGTCCGTCACACACGGCGGGGCTGCTTGATCATTCAGTTTTAACTTCAGGGGTTTAAACCTCTTTGGGAGATTCACAAAAGAAGTGAAGAACGCAGTACAGTTCTTACTCCATCACTGCTCACAAGTATAGAAGTACAGACACGTGATATTCACGACAGTAACGACATCTGGAAATGTCTCTGAACAGGACAAACTTATTATTATTTATCATTTAGGTCTTTATTTAAAACAAAGCTTGTTTCTCGCTGCTAAATAAAATTAAAAATGTAACTTTTTCATTGTTTATTATGATATTCTTGTTTTTCTTAAAGTTGGTCTTTCATTCAATACTTTCCTCCTCTTAATGTGAGAATATCTTCTTTTGCATCTTGCTGAGCTTTGTCTGTGTGACAGACAGAAATCTGAGCGGTGGAATGTGATGAAGGTGGAAATAAATCAGACTGACCCAGTTTCTGCAGCCAGGTGCAGACAGAAACCGCCCATTGTGAGTTCATCTGACCTGCAGACATGTCTGCTCTTATATCACAAAAGGTTTCTGCAGGAGTTTGATTTAGGAAATATGTCTGTAATTTCAGACACGTTGTGCTGAAGTGAACAAATCAACATGAAAGCAGCTTTTGGAGTTTTTCTGCCCTCTAGTGCTAAAAATTGATTGTTGCAGCTTCGAATATCTAAGAACATGGTTTAAAAATGTTCACAGTATATGTTTTAAAACTCTGAGCTAACATCTGCTCCCCTACACATAAGCCTGACCCTTACATATAACTCAGAGATGAGTCTGATGAATGAAGACAGCGTCCATGTTTTAAATAGATGGCGTCAGGAGGAGCAGACAGCGTTCATGTGTCGTAAATTGTGCCCTTCCAAACTCACACTTGCTTTTTGCGCGTATAAGTGTGTTCACGCTGACAAATGAACCATCTTGGTTCCGAAGTGGACGTGAAGGGACCGAGGAAGCTGCAGCGGCTGTGATTGTAAAAGTAAGAGTATGTTCATTTTAATAAAACTGAATTAAAGTAAATGAGCTGGCAGATATTTTGGTGGGTGACAGTCGTGGTCAAATGTTGGCGTTCATGATCCAGTTACAAGTTAACATTGAAAAAGAAGAAGAAGAAGCGGTCAAATGTATAATTGTCATTTCCGGTAAGTTCAGTCTGAGACAACACCACCCTGTCGACATTTTCTGACGGTTTCAAACGGTGGCGTGCACAATGATTTTTCTCTTTCAAAGCAGGAACCAGCTCTGTTTCAGAATCCAACTCAGAATGTACATTTGGAGCAAGATGTTCGACATGAATATTGTAGGACAATCTGCTGTCTCACTAAATTATTGATAATGGTGTTCTGCATCCGTTAGATTTCCATGTAGAGCATGTGTAGGATAGGAGACTTTAATGGTTCACACTTGTGAAATTTACACATTTAGTTTTTTGGAGTTCAGAATAAACTGTAAATTAAATGGGGACATCTGGAGGTTTTTAAAAGCAGAGTGCGCTCTGGAGAAGACTCTTCCAAGATTTATGCATGATTTTTATGCTCAGAGTAAAAGCAGGGGCCCTAATATTGATCCTTGAGGGACACCTTTATCAACCATTTTGGGACTAAATTTGAAACAATCATCAACAGTCTGAACTCCAGCAGAGAGACGGCATTTAAACCAGCTGTAAGCAGAAGCATCAACCATCAGAACTCACAGAAAGCAGCTGAGTTAACAAAATGTTGTGATGAACAGAACCAAAAGCTTCAGACAGGATCTACAAAGACTGCAGCACAGCAGGTCTAAAGCCTGACTGAATTATTATCCTTCAGGAGGCACTTAAATATTAAAGTTAAATATAATTTGGTGGTTTGACATTAATTATCACTTGTGTTGATTCTGATCTATTGTTATAATATTCTTTTTCAATGTAACAGTGAAACTGTGAAGAAGAAACAAAGATGTGCAGGTGGATTTCAAACTCGTGTTTATTCACTTCTGTTGTTTTGTAAAAGAAGCTCTGAAGCGACAGACAGAAGTGTGTGTGTGTGTGTGTGTGTGTGTGTGTGTGTTTAATTTTAGTTTAGTGGGTTTTCTAGTATTTTAAGTCAGTAAGTCAGTAAAGCAACATGCATTTAAAAGGCTTCAGATATGTCTGTCAGGGGGCGTGGTCAGGGCGGGGGCGGGGCTTGTAGGACACTTGCAGCATCAAATATGAACACTCGGCCTGGGTGATGTCATCCCACACCGACCAATAAGCTGAGAGTCCACAACCTGATTAAATTCATCTCATCTGAGCGTTAAAAACTGACATCAGTGTGTACGATGAGTGTGATGCAGAGACCATGCAACCATGGCAACAGGAGGAGGGCTTCTATTGGTTAATGAGGTTTAGTTACACACAGCAGCTGAAGAATATTGTGGGGTTAGGGAGGGTCAGAGGTCAAAGGGTTTAGTGACGGCTAAAAATGTGATGGTTCCTCTTCTCTCATTGGACGGGACGAAACAGGAAGTGACTGCGAGAGAGAAAAAGAAAACAAAATAAAAGAGAAGACAATTTAATTAGATTAAAAGCAATGAACAGAGAAATTGTGACATTTTCATAATTTAAAGAGACACTTATACTTTCGGATACTATTACTATTCGTGGTTTGATATTTAGATAAATCTCCGGCCATTTAAAAAAAGGGCTGTATTCATAACCAATAGATTTCATAGCAGTCTAAGACGGTTAAATGGATTCATCATCTCGTCACTTGCACGACACGGGACATCCTGCACATTCTTATCAAGCCACGCTACCATCAGTCAGGACTTTTTTATTCACTTCACCCAGATTTAAAATGATGAAGTGCTGACGTTACTCTGTTTGGGTGCAGCCAGAGATCCTGTGTTTGTGTCGCGTTGAAGATGATGTCACGGCAGTTTCACATAGCGTTGCAAAGAGTCCCACCTACATTCTGGGGGTAACATCTTCAACAGATTCACTATTTCCTCCTATTTGATAAAAGCCACTGTACCAAATGTCCAAAATGTTTTCTGAGGCTTTCTCACCTACTGTGCAGCCTCTTCAGTCTGTTCTCCTGCTTTTGTTTTTGGGAGGTCGGCCTGCAGGAGAGACAGAGCAGAGGTCACATGGCGGCCATCAATCTTCACATCCATACAAATCCATTCATTCACAAAGATACATTTCTCCCCCAACAAGTAGACCTGTGTCATTAGTTACAGGAATAATGGCTGCGCTCCATTTAGGTGGTCCAGTTTCAGCTGCATGTGAACCAGCTGCTGGTTGGCGTCCGCGTTTGTTTTGGTGACGGTTGGCGTTCTTGCAGAGTTTATGTTGCTTTGTAGGTTTCAGCTTCTTCTGCTTTGTCCTTTGGCTTAAACAGAATGAAGCAGTTCTTAATGTTATCAGCTACACCTGCGATTTACCTGCTCTGGCAAATCAAAACATCGACTATCACAAAGGTCTGTGGGACGGAAGCTCAAACAAAGCAGCCAGTTTTAAAAGGCTGTGTGCGGTCACATTAACCAGTCTAACCAGTCTCATCTGATTTAATCTTTTAACGATCCTTTGCTTTGGGAGAAGAGTAACTTCATTAGGATACGATGGTACTACAGCAGAGTAAAAACAGAGGAGAGCTGCCCCCCCGTGCAGAAATCTTTCTGTTGGGAAAAGTGAGATGAAGCCAAAGATGAGCGAAGCTGAAAGAGACAGTTAGTTGTTGTTTATGTTGAAAGTGCAGCGTTCATGTTGGTGCCACTCAATCCTGCAACAGGAAACATTTCTACATCCCAAAAAGTTTACTGCTTATTTTCAACTTGTTCTTTATTTTCCCCGTAACCTAGACTTGATTCCTTGTTTCCTAGACTTGATTCCTTGTTTCCTAGACTTGATTCCTTGTTTCCCAGAGCTGTCACCTTGTTTCCTAGACTTGATTCCTTGTTATCTAGACTTGATTCCTTGTTTCCTAGATTTGTTTCCCTGTTTCCCAGAGCTGTCACCTTGTTTCCTAGACTTGATTCCTTGTTATCTAGACTTGATTCCTTGTTTCCTAGATTTGTTTCCCTGTTTCCTTGAGCTGTCACCTTGTTTCCTAGACTTGATTCCTTGTTTCCTATAGTTGTTTCCCTGTTTCCTAGAGCTGTTTCCCTGTTTCCTAGACTTGATTCCTTGTTTCCTACAGTTGTTTCCCTGTTTCCCAGAGCTGTCACCTTGTTTCCTAGATTTGATTCCTTGTTTCCTAGAGTTGATTCCTTGTTTGCTAGGGCTGTCTCCTTGTTTCCTAGACTTGATTCCTTGTTACCTAGACTTGATTCCTTGTTTCCTTTTTTCCCAGAGTTGTTTCCTTGTTTCCTAGACTTGATTCCTTGTTACCTAGACTTGATTCCTTGTTTCCTTTTTTCCCAGAGTTGTTTCCTTGATTCCTAGACTTTTCAGGACAACAATTCATTAAATAAACTAAGAAAGAAGACACGTAATTATAAACTGTAAAGAAATAGCCAAGGTAACCTTTCTATTAATAAAGGGTGCGGCTGTTAGTACAGAAAAGCGTCACGTGTATTTTTTCTGCCATGCATCATTCTTCTTCGTGCTTTGTTAGTTTTATGATCGTCACTCAGACATTAGCAGCCATGTTGGATTCCTGATGAAATATCTGTTAATCTGTCTGTTTGCTGCTCTGTTCGTACTATAGTTACTGTTATTACTGCTACAATACTACTATCACTATAAGTACTACTAATAAAAATACTACTATTAAAGAGTAGTAGTCTTTACAGAGCAAGAGACATGATGAGGTGAAGACCTGGCACCAGGGACCAGCCAACAGGAGAAGGCCAGTGTTTGAGATTTGAAGGTACAATTACTAAGTGCAGCTTTTCACAGCTTCCTTTATTTATTTAGCCCCTTGTGGCCTGGTTATTGATTGATTAAAGTTATTTCTTCTGGATATGTTGGGGTTTTGGCTACAATTTAAAATCAAATGGAACACAGGTATTTTATCATTCAGTATTTTAACATACTTGAATAACGATTTCTGCAGCCTAAGTGACATTAAAAATGTAAAACAAATTATGAGACAGCTGAAAACACACAAAGTGAGCCTGTTATAATAAGTGAAGGTGATTATAGTCCAACTCATTATGTTTAACTCAAAACATTTCTAATAATGAAGCCAAAAGAAGAACAGAAAACAGCAGTGGGAAGTAACTAAGTTAAGTTTCAGTTACATTGTACTCCACTACATTTATCTGCCAAGTAATTAAAGACATTAAAAAATGTCAGAAAAAGGTTTAAACTAGAAATAATGAATTGGATAATATATGATCCTGTTGCATCACAGCGACAGGAGCCTTTCTGCATCCTGATAAGTACTTTTACTTTTGATACTTTTAATATATTTTTGTAACAGAGTACTTTTGCATGCAGTTTCCCTGATATGCAACATGTACTGAGCCGCTCTGAATCCAGTTCACTTCCTCTGACGAGCAGCGGATTTATGAAGCTGTGAGTCCTGAAAAGCCAGAAAGTCACATCAGGCAAAGAGCCTCATGCCATGCAATCACTCAACCTCCCCCGACCAATCAGGCACCTCCTCAGCCTTTGGTCCCGCCTCCTCCTGTTCCCAGCCAGTCACCAGACATTTGTGAGTAAAGACAAAAAAATGAATGTTACCAACACAACACAGATTAACATATTAACAACAGGAGGACTGTTTAAATAGTGACAGAGGGAAATGTAATTCATACTTTGTCTTTTATGCTGCATATATTTATCAGCCAGGCATGTTTTTGTAAAACTTAATAAGTTAAATTAAATTAAATCAAAGTATTTTGTTAATGAGCAAAGTTGAAAAATGAAAATTTGACAATGTTTTATGAACAAACAGAAAAATGTAAATGTGAATAACTACATGAAATAAAATGTCTTTTAGACGTTCTTGTTAAATACCTGCAACAACCGCCTCTGTAATGCCAGAACAATGTGAACATTGAATTGAATCTTTTGTTTGTGTTACTTAAAAAGAAACAAACTATAATAACTTATATTTAAATATGTTAGAACACCGTAATAGATTATTTGACTGGGGTCACGTGATGTGACGTCTCTCACCGTGCTGACGAATCCGCTCGCCACCGCTGCATTCTCCACCCCTTCCACTGTTGCCTGGGCAACCTCGTTGGCCCCGGTAACCGCGGTGTCTGCAACGATGTTGGCCTGTTCGTTGGTCTTCTGGGCAACTGGACGTCAGGAAACAGGAAGAAGACATAAAATGCTGTTCAGCATCACTTAATCTCCTTTACATTGGATTTGTTTGTTCAGGATTATCATTCCAACAAATAAAGAAACTAAACAAAGGAATGTCTGTGACAGTGAAACTGTTTGTTCGTTTGTTGTGTGTTTGGTTACCTGTGTTCACGCCGGTCACCACTCCCTCCATCGTCTTGTTTCCTGGACAGGAGGGAAAAAAACATGGTTGCTGAAATAAATGAAATCAAACAAATTATAACCTGTGAACGTTCAGATTATTTTACGTAGAGCCAAGTCTGCACTGTTTTATTAGAACATTAGAAATGTTGGTAGGAGTCCTGTTTTCTGATCTGCTCCTGAACACTTGGTCCACCTGCACCTCATGAGCTCAGTATGATGTCAGTCCTGTCAGTCTGCTCATAGCACTTTCTCTCTTTAACTAATCTGTTTTCACTCACTCATTATGTCCAGTTGCTTCTGCTGTTTTCTATAATCCTTCTTAAGCTGCTTGCAATGAAACTCAACACAAATTAAAAACCTTCCAGCCCTTAAAGGTGTATAACTTCTCTCGTTTAATTTTATCATCTGCAGAAAGTGTCGTGTGGGGTTGAAACGCGTAGCCGGTACAGATAATGTACTTTTTACCAGTACGAGTATCACCAGAGTAAAATGTGTCCATGTCTTTTTTCTAATAAACTATAAATATAGGAACCTTTTTAATAAAACAATCACTAGTTTTCTAATAAATGTAGTAACTTCAAATTCACACTTGAATAACTTCTGGTTGGTCCTGCTCATGTACAGGTTAAACCCCATTCAGTACGGACACAGATCATTTCATTTGTTGAACAGAATCAGTTGTGGAAATGTTCATTATCCTGAATTTATCATGCAAGACTTAGTACAGGTAGGTGACCCCCCCCCCCCCCAACCTCTGTGTTTTCACAGTCAAGCTCCAGATCAGAAGTTCACATTCACTCAGATGTTTAAGTGTAGAAAAGACGGAGCTGAGGGTAAAATAAAAACAGCTGTTTGCAGCTGAGTGTGAATCTGACCTGCTTTCCTCTGCAGAGACAAACGGAGCTCAGCTGGTTTCTGAATTATTTATTCATGTCACCCGGTTTACACAAAGCAGCGGTGGAACAAGGACTCCGATCCTCTACGTAAGCAAAAGATGTAATACAATGGTGTAGGAATACTCTGTTACAAGTAAAAGTCCTGCATTCAAAATGTTAAGTATTACCATCAAAGTAAAAGTATTCATTATGTAGATTAATATATACATATATTACTGATGTCAAGTGATGATGAGTTATTGATGCATTTATATAAACCGTGAAACTTCAATTAATAGCAGAGTCCCAAATAGCCTGGCCTGGTGTGGGAACACATGTTGACAAATAAGTGCAGGTCTCCACGGTTGGATGTATAAAACCTCTCATCCTGCACCGTGTTTTTATTTTCGTTACGTTGCTGCCTTCCAAATAAAAGTGCATAAGCCGCCTGTCTATTAAATAAACTGTTTAAAAGTAGTCGATTTCAGTTTTGTGCAAAAGGAATTAAAGGTCTGTCCCAAATATAGGCAGGGTCAATTCAGTTTACGGTGTATTTATTGAGTAGCAGCTGGTAAAAGTGGAGCTCACAGCTGGGCAGCTTCATAATAAAGTTCCATCATAATTTATCAGTTGATTGTTGTTGAATATGAATCATATTTTGTTTTAAAGTAACCAATAACTAAAGCTGACAAATAAATGTAGTGGAGTAAAAATTACAACATTTCCCTCAGAACAGTCAGCCCGTACGCACCAGCGTTTTATGGCCTATATTTAGGATATTTGTCAGGTAAAGTACCTCAAAGTTTTACTAAAGTACAGTAATTAAATTCCAGCAGTCGTCTGTGTGATCATTTTAATTAGGCTCAGTATCCAGTGGACTTCAAAGGAACTGCCTTCAACGCTCGGCTTGTTTTGGGTGTTTGGTCCAGATCCAGGTCCAGGGTGATGGTTCTCCCGGTGGGCGTCGTGCTGCTCAGACATGTGACGGATCCGACTGAACAGAGTCTTTGTCTGAGTGAACACATTCACAAACACAGAAACACACTGTGGAAACGCAGCAGCTGCTTCCAAACAGGCAGAGCGTGACGTGGATCTGCTGCTCTGCATCGGTTCCAGGAAGGCGGCTTTTACCAGATATAATGCATATTTGATGAGAACGCAGGTTTTATCTCCTCTAATGGATGTGTCCGTCTTTTCCTGCTCGTGTATCACTGCAATTATGATCTATAAACAAGTCATATCGTTCATCTTTGGCAAATGTCCGCTGTCCACACGGAGTCTGAAATGTCAGGAAGTGGTGGAGTCAGAGAGGAGGAACTCTTTAGATCCAGATAACAACACAGCTCAAGAAAAACTTCTAAAGAATCTAAGAATAGAGAACCGAAGTGAAACCAGAGCTTCTGGGTAAAGTTCTGCTCCAGAAATGTAGCTTGTTCTAATAAGTAAAAGTCAACAGTATGTCGTGTGGCTCTCTTCACGTTTAGATCAGCAGTCAGGACGGTAAATTAATCTACAGTGCATGTTTTCAGTGGCCTTTTATGAACACTGTTTCCCATAAGCCCCAGGTTCAACATCACGGAGAGTTCACGGGCGAGTCGAGTGTCTGCGGTCACTTCTGTAATAACAGCAGGACCAGCAAGCGCCGCCCACCCTGAGTCCAGGTTCTGATGGAGGCTTCTGCCTGTTAAAGGTCTTGCCTCTGTGGCCAAGCGCTTTCTCATGGTGGGAAATGTTGGGTCTCAGTGAAACATCTTCGGTCTAGTCCTGCATCCAGTCCGCATTCTGGGTTCAAACTAATGTTCTACTTGGCAGTTTAACAAAAATGCTGTTTGTCAGACGACAACGGGACGTTTCTGTGGAAAGAACATTTCTTCACCCAATTCCCAAAGTCGCGATGCAACGATGACCTTTAACCTAAAACACGTTGTGTGTTTTCCTGGCTGTGGTCTGAATCATCGGGTGAGTTGGTAAACTTTGTTTTCTTGGTTGGTTCAGTTTCTTTTCACACAGAAAAAAGTTCAAGAGAACCAAACAGCATCAGGGAGAAGTTGAGCATTTTTATTTAGAGAAATATGTTTGATTGGGCTCCACTCAGATCTCTTCTCTGGTGTTTGAACCAGACTGATCTCAGGTTTCATTCCACCTGGAAAGTCTACTTGATTTGTTCCGGACCAAATCCAATTTGTTTGGCTTCCACGCTGCCCTTTTTGCAAGTCATCCATTCATTGGACAGATATTCAGGAGCGGGGAAAAGCAGGAAGCCTGAAAACGACGGAGATCTTCTGAGTGCAAAGTTTGCACTTTTTCTTTCTTATGCAGCACTTCGCTCAAATCCCTTCTTCTTCGTCTGTTCACTGAACACATCAGCATTTTTTTTAATCCTGTCTAGTAGCTGTGATAAATCAGACAGCACGTCCCTTCAGAGCTTCAGGTCAAACCACAAGAGCGCTACGAGTTCACTCCAAAAAAGTGCAGTTCTGTCTGCAGTTGGGTCGGATTGAGGCCGGTCCACGTTCACACCTTAAACGAACAACACCAGAATTAGAACTTATATTATCTGGGTCTCGTTATGGTTGTTTGGTCCACACATCCTCACCAAGAGGGGAAACAAACCTGAGATCGATTCAACTGAACCAAACAAGAGGTGTGAACACAGTCTGTAAAACATATGGTGCAAACACGAGGCTTCAACCGGCTGAAAAACAGATGACTGACAGCTCTCTCCTCCACTCAGACATCAACATGAACCGTTCCTAAACCTGATTGGACCCGACACTCTCGGGCGAGTAAAATACACCGGCACGGGGGAGTGTGACATCACTTCCTGTGGGCCTGTGTGTGTTTTGTCATGTCAACAGAAAACAGCCCGTCTGTGTGTGTGTTCATTTCTTCTGTCCTTATTTTCAAAGCAGTACAGTTGTTCTCTGTTTCTCTGTTCTGTAAAATAGAAAGTAACCAGCCGTGAGTTTAGTTAGGTAGTCTAGTTCAGTCTAGTCTTAAAGAAGGGGGACGGAAAACTGAACCATTAACCCTTGAATGCCTGTTTCACACAGAATATTTCATCCACAAGCACCTGAACGTGAACAGTGCTTCACTTTGGCCAGCAGGGGGCGCTGCACCCCCTCAGCCACGCCCTTCCCGCGCTAACACCTAAACTGTGTCGACCGCGCTGCCATAGACGTCGTTTTCCCGGCGACATGTCCTGAAAACTTTCCTGAAAAAGCTGCCGCCACGTTACGCCGAGCACGAGACGGCGATTAGTGATCACTGATTAATCACTGAGCGCTGCGCTGTGTGAAGTCACAGCTGTCTGTGTGTAAGATGCAGGAAACACACATCATCTATAAATCATATCCCTCCCTCGTAACCCACCAAAATAAAAGCTGAACGTTTCATTTGATCAAACTGAACTTTTTCCTGCTGATTCATCTCCTTCCTGTCCTTCCTTCTGACCTTCCATCCTTTCTTCCTTCGCTCCTGCTGCAAACTAATTTAATGCACATCATCAGAATGGATTACACTCTGAATATTTTAGTATTCAGCTTCTTTCCTTTGCCCCCCCCCCCCCCATCACAGCTTGCTGTTGAATTTCACCCCACCCATCCCTCCTTCCTCCTCCCAAACCAACCCTACAGATCTGAGAAGTTTATGTG